CTAATGACAACACTGTATTAAATTATAAATGTACTTATGGTGCAATTACATATATTACTCCATTTTTAACAATGTTTATATATAAACCAATGTTTGCAAGGAAAGACTCTATTCAGATGTTACTTCCTGACTCTCTTCTCTTCCACCACTGGTACACCAACTACACTTTCGCAGAAACTACTGAATGCAACTGACCAAAGATACCGACAACAGGAAAATCATCCAGATAAAACAGTAACACAAGCAGAAAACAGGGTTAATATTCAATGAGAAGCAATACAAGGTTTGTTTCTCCAGAATGTTTGTGATGGTGCAGGATATGTGTCAAGATGGCTTATAATGCATGTAATGCACAAGTCCACTGATCGTGGTTTCCAAAAATTCTGACATTTGCAATTCAAGAACAAAAATGTTCCTAATATCTTGATCATGTGATTATCAGACAACAGAAAGATAAGAGAATGCTACACTGGAGCAGTGTACAGGACATAAAAGAGGGTACATGTATGCATCTGACTATCCACTGGGAATCAGTTTGTGCTCAAATACTGATTTCTTGTGGCAATTTGGAAATAATCTGATCAGACTGAGAAATTTCAAGAATATGTTTTACTCAGAAGCAGAAGTTTGATGTGACTGGTGCATGAACACTAAAATCACTATGTGCATGATCATAACAGTTTCATATAGCCACCTAAACCTAGAATGCTCCAAATATTCACATACTTGCTGTCAGAGGGAAATTTTATTTTTCACATAATTGGACAATTATTTACTGCTTGAGGTACCAATAAAAAATTGGACCCAAATGGGAACTACTGACTGCAGACAAAGAAATCTATTCAATGCTAAAAAGTGCTTATCACCTGAAAATTTATCAATTCCGCCCTCAAATATTTTAATATCTAGTTGAGGGGGCAAGATTAATAAGCAAGAAGCAATTATAAAAAAAATACAAGTGAGTTCACAATAAAGTATTATATAAAGCTGAATGACTTCTATTGATATCAGAAAAAAGAAAAGATTAATATACCTAGAGAAGTTGGGAGAAAAATTCATGGATTAGAATGAGGGTAAGGGTGACTCTGAACTTCAAATAGGATCCTTATGGATAGAGAGGAAGTAAGAGAATTCTGTAAGGGGGTAAATGATATAAACTACTAGTGTCAAACTCAATTAGAAAAGGATTAATATGCCAACTGCATGCTAACTTTGAAAACCACAAATTACCATTCCAGTAACATTTTGATCTGGTCCAAGTGTGGCCTCACAGTTTATAACTCTGGAACTGCAATCTAACTGGGCTACTTGCTATTTTCAAAGAAGTTCCTCAATGCCTAGACTGAATTCCTTCCTCCCTCACTCAAAGCTTCTTCTATCCAATTTTTACCTAACCCTTGAGCTAACAGCTGATCATTTATATAGTGCTTTAATATTGACAAACATTTTATAAATTTTTTTTCATTTTAACCTTAACGATAACCCTGATTGGTATGATTATTATCCCCATTTTATAGTTGAGGAAACTGAAGTACAAAGAGGTTAAGTAACTTGACCAGGTAAGAGCTAGTAAGTATATGAGGCCAAATTTGAACACAGGCAGGTCTTCCTGACCCCAGAGCTCCATTCACAGCACCACCTAGCTCATATGTATATGTATATATGTGTGTATATATACACATATACACACAATTTCTTTCATCTAAACCTGGCTTTGATCCACTACCACCACCCCCTCTAAGTAATCACTTTCTCTCTCTTGTGTTTTCATATTCTATTCTACATTACTGTTAAGGATGAAAAGGGCTCCTAGAGATTATTTACTTCTACTTCAGGAGTTAGAGATGAGGACTTTGACACCATATAAGGTTAAATGGCTTGAGTCAAGGTCATTGAGCTAATTAGCGTAAGAACCAAGACTAAAATTTAGGTCTTTTGTCCAAGGTCACTCACTGCAACCTGGGGCATCGCCAGTCATCCTGTTGCCTTGCCACTAAACTTAGATGACTCTAAAGGACAAAGTGAGGCTGACAACTTTGTACAGGACTGCCCCACTCAAATCTAATTCATGCGCAAATAAGTCCTCTTTGAGAACAAAGGATTAACAACAACCACCCAACATTTTTTTAATGTAGATCCCTTTGCTTGCTAAATAAATGAACAAAATAGATCACCAAAAGAGAGATATACACAGTTAGGGGTGGTGGGGGAATCACACTCAGAAGCGTGGACAGTGTAAAAACAAAATAGGTCAATAAAAAGTTAGTTTTTAAAAAACAACAAGAATCTCTAGCAAGTATCTAGAAGAGTTGAGTCTTCCCTTAATTCATCATTAATATATCTTCTATTCACCAAAGCCAATGTTCAATCTCACTGGTCCAATTTACAACAGAACAAAGATAAATAAGACAAGCATAGTTCAAAGGTAAAAGATGGTAGTATTATTAATTTACCAAACAACTGATTTTTAGAAATTACAAGATACTCCCAACTCTCAGCAAATAAGGAGGATATGATACACTAACAGGAAACATGTACAAGTTAACCATCATCCTGAAATCTTGGCTTCTTGAACAGAATTACACGAACATTGTTTAAAAAAAACAAAACACCACTTTCTGAAGTTTATGACATACTATACTGATTATCCTACTTTTCTAACGTGACTTCCTTTTTTCATTCTTAACTGGATGCTTCCAGAAGTTCAGCCTTTGTCCCATTTTTTTTTTTACTCAGAGATGTTGTTACATTATAGTTTCAACTACCGCTTCTACTTAGACTATTTACAAACCTATAATCTCTTGCTCTGCTCTTTCCTTGTCTCCAAATATATTCTTGTCATTTCCAATTAACTATCCTGGTGAAACTTTAAGGTGAGTGTGTCAAAAACCATAACTTTGACCATTTCTCAAAACAAGCTTATTCTTCATACTTTGTTTTTTTGGTCAATGAAACACCATCATTCTTCTAAACACTATCTTCTCTTCTTTCTTCCCCTCCTTCTCCTCTTTTTTCTTCCCCTTTCTCTTTCCTCCTCCCTGTGCCCCGCTTCCCCAACTTTGTTACCAACATAAATCTGTTAAGTGGAAATTTCAAAATTAGATAAAAAAATGTTTACAGTTAGAGATCCCTGGCTTTGCCAGAAAAAAAAAAAAACAGGACAGAAGTTTCCCTGACCATGATCCAGATTCCTTGACATCTCTTTCACTACACAGGAGCTATTTTAGCAAACCAACTTCCCTAGAATGTGAGTTGAAGGAATATTGTGATTCTAAGTTCAGGATTTTTTTGGGTTTTATTTTATATTTTTATTTCTATTAATTTTTATTTATTAATTATATATTATAGAATATAAATAATATATGAAATATATTTAAATATTTACATTTATTTTATTTTATTTTTTTAATATTATTTTGTTTTAACTTCTCACTCTTATAACTGATTAAGTTCTGGTTTGTCTTCTGAGATATCTGTTGCAGTCCATCCTTCCTTTCCATTCTTTCTTGCTCAAGCCTTTAGCACAAATCAGGCCTTCATTAACACCTCCTAATCAGTGATCCTATCTTGATTCTCTTTTCCCTCCAATACATCCTATACAACTCTATCTATGCTGATACTCCTAAAACAATTCTCTGCACATAGGAGCTTGATAAATAATTTTGACAAACTGATATATCCTGTAAGTATTAGGGAGCTATTAAAAACTTTTGACCAATGGAATAGCAGGAAATTCATCTGGCCATGATACATATGTACAGGAAGAAAAAGAACTGTGAGGTTTCTCTACAGGAGCCTAGCCCACTCCCTATGCTACCATTACTACACAGAAGTACCTGCAGAGCTTTTATTATCCTCTAAAGAGCAGCACACATTTGCCACTTCTTCTATGAACACACAGAGAGGAGTGCTTAAAACAAATGCAAGAGAAAGATCAGCACCATCCTAGGATCACTGGTCATACCTTTGTTGCTACATCATATCCTGAGAGGCTATTCCCAGGTTCCCTATCTCACCTACTCCCTCATATCCAGTCTCAAAAGTCTCTGCTTGTAACCTCTTTTCCTATCTGAATTTCTAAACAATAATTCCTTAACACTTAATGAAATTTTGAATTTGATTTGTTCCCGGCTTATTTGGCCCAACACTTAAGACTATGACTTCAATTCTGGTCTCTGAACTCATACTACCTGCATGTTCCTTATTTTGATGGTGATTGACTGGTTCTGAGTTCCTGTCAGTATTGTAAACTATAAACCATATCATTTTATGCTTGTCTGTGCTTTTAACTGCTAGCCAAAACCCACTTGGCAAGGGTAGAAGAGAATCTGGGGAATAATGAGCTTGCCTTTGTATTTGACTCTATATTTAAATCCAAATACTTAGCCTAATATTGAAACTCTCCACAGTTTTGTCCCTGGCTATCACTCCAGCCACACCTTCACTTACTACTAATTATTCTAAGCACTTGACCAATCACCTTCTAAGACCATGATACTGCTCATATCAGTTTTCATACCCAGGATGCTCTTCTTCCTTACTACCTAAAAACTCCTCTGAATGTAGGTCAAGTGCCTCTATCCGTTCTTACTGAAATCTTTTCTGACCATCTCAGCTTATTGTTATATTTTGCTTCTCTGAATTGTCATAACATTTCCTATTTTTACTACTGATTAGTTAATACTAGTTAATTTTTCATTTATGTGCCCTACCATCTAAACCAGATAAAATCACTGAGACTTTGGACCATGTCTTATGGTTCTTTCTACAGCCCACTTTAGTACCTCATATATACTAGGGAGTTAAAATATATTTGATGATTACATAAAAGTTATACCAAACGTTTTGGTAGTAAGAAAAATTTTTTCCAAGAAAAACTGACAAGGCAAATTGTACCTAACACATTCAAAATGTCAATGTTAGGATTTCTCCACATTTCAATTCTTCAATGGTAGTACATAAGACAGAAAATTATAAATTCCCAATGTGAATGAATTTACCTTCTTTGAATTTCCAATTCTTCTTGTGATGGACCATTCTGCACCTGGGAAGGCAGCTGTGAATTTTGTCTAGGTAATGTAGGACCTATAAAAGGGGAAAACAAGATTATAAATGAGTATTACTTTTAGATTAAAGTTGATAAAATATATAAAATCAGGAAAATAATACAAAATCATCACAAATATTTACAAATGTATCTTCCTTTTGTAGCAAAACAAAACATAAGCTTCATAACACACAGCAAATAAAAGAAGACTGCAACAAAATACTGTCATTATTTCCAGAAGACTTACTTGAAACAAATGGGGAAAACTTCAGGAATAAAGAAAAAATAAAAATTTATACATGAAGAGCATAATAGTAAAACAAGTACTCAATGAGAATCTGAAGAGGCACCTAACTTGACATTCTTTAAGACAATGAAGAAACATTATCTTTGAAGTAATTACTCATGGTTGAAGAGGGAGAGGGGAAGGATGATAAGGGTGTAAAGAGACTCAAAAGGAAAAATTAGAATTGAAAACTCACCTAAATAGAACACTGGAAATGAAAAACAGGAGAAAAAGAGCATGAGAACCTTGTTACTAATACTGATTTATGATGTTACTGCAAATTTAAGGACGCATTATAAATCTGTTGGCCAATTGAAAAATGACTTTTTTGTTCAATGGCTCAGCATTTCTGGCACTGAACAGAATAGATACTAAATGTAACCATTATAATTAACCTAGCTACCTGAATTTTTAACATAGTTAATCTTCAAAGACTTTTGTGTATAAAAAGCATCTTCCACAGCTACCAATAGGCTTTTTCGTAGGTCCACATTACTTACTACATATCCTAATGTTCCAAGTCTATCGTTAATCAACCATCATTCCAGCAATCGATTGTTGGGGCAATTTCTGCTGAAAACTATAGAACTGCTCCCCAAATTAGTGACAATGATAATAGTAAGACAAATTTAAAATTTTTAAAAATGAGATCAATAAATATTGGAACTATTCCTACATACCATATTTAGGAGCCAAAACATTTCAATCTTAAAACTTAGTCCAGTAAAAGAAATAATGGTCACCTTCTACTCTTGAATATGAAAATATTGAAACTTAACATGCCAAAACTTGTCAAAAGGGTAACATATTCAACAATAAAAACGGTAACATGTTTACCAATAAAGGCATTTTTTTGAGATCTTCTGAAAAGCCACTAGACTACTCACATACAAAAGTAAATGTTTCTACATACTAAATCAAATTTTTGTGATCTAAAAGTTCAAATGATTAAATATCTAGGTAATAGCCAGGTTTAGATTTCATACTTGAAAGGATCAAGTTCATTAGAATTCTGAGCTAATAGATCCAGCAGCAAAGGATCATGATTATTTACCTTAATTCTATTTTTCCCCTTATATAATGCACTTTCAATAATTATTTGATATAAAATAATTTGTATTTTCTTGTAAATTGCAGAGTAATCAGCTAACATAAATTTGGTGGTGCATTTCTTTAAATTTCCAAAGGTAATCAATTTTAAGCCTTCAACTAAAGGACATTTAAAAACTACTATTCTCTGTTTTTAAAAAATCTATTACTCTCACCTAAGCAGCACACTATGAATAGCTGAACAATTTTGCAGGCTGGAGTGCATATCATTCAGATACAGTATAAGTATCTTAAAATATACCAACTACACACACACACACACACACACACCCACACCCCCTAATAAAAATACGAATATAGTCTGTTACTATTATGTTAACATCTTGCATTATTAACTCTAACACTTTGGGGGAAGAATGGGTATAACAGGTAGTTGTTAGGCTTTCTTAGAAAAGCAGGTACAAGTGCATGGATAAATTTAAGAAACAATTTTTAAAAAGTCTGTATCTAAAGGTGGTGCCAGGCCATTCTTATCTAACTACTCCAAATAGGCAATTAGCTTTAGTAATTGACATCGTCATTGTAATTAACCTACTTCCAAGAATGTGTAAGAACAACTTTTATCTAGTGTAAATTAAATGTGAAAATTCATACTGTTATGAGTCTTATACAGTGGTCATCTTTTATAGGTTAAATAGTTTGAGGTAGCATTTATTTACAATATCTGGTATATTTTTAATTTTAAATGCAAAATCATTTACTAGTCTATCAGAAAGATTTTTTTAGAGGTAGCCAAGCTTTCTGATATGCTGGTAGTAAAGTTCTTAAGAGCATATAAAAGGAAGAAATTTTGCTCCAATATTAGTTCATGGCATGTACAAAATAACATGATGAAATGCCTGCAGATGAAATCTTTTTTAAGTAATAGAAATTAAAACGGAAACAGTTAAAAGAAATAAATTCAATTTCAGGTAGAACATTGGGCTAAGGAATTAGGAGACCTGGATCCTAGTCCTAACTCTCATTACTTAAGTTCTGTGACTCTTGGGGATGTCACTCATGCTTCTGGGCTCAGGCTCCTTATCTGTAAAAAGAAGTGTTGAACTAGATGACCTCTAATTCTTTTTCCAGTTCCAAAATGCAATGATCTGATGATTCCAGTAATAACAATATTTATTAATTCATATTTCTATGGCACTTTAAAGTTTGCATAGTGCTTTGTTTACTACATCTCTGCGAATTCAGTAGTGCCATATTATGAGCCTAGTCCATGCTTGCACAGAGATCACACTGGAACCCAGGTCTCCAGTGTAAGTTGAATGTTTTCTCACTACACCACATATCAAGGTACATGTTGAAAAACTAAAGGCTCAAAAAACTTTCTAAGAGTGAATACTAAATCCTAATTAGTAATATAAAACCCTTAAAGAACACTTAAGGCTGCCAAAAACCATTTAAATATTCTGGGTAAACATTTTGGTAATCTAACTGAAACTTGTGAATTTGTAAGGCCACTAAGCCATGAATAATTATTTGGTAATGGTTATCGTTTTTACAGACTACTTTAACATGATAGTCCAAAAGCTTATTAAATTACAGTCTATTAAAAATAGCTTGCCTAATAATTTGATATCAGCTTAAAACTATGTACTCTTTCAAGAAGAAAGTATTTATTACCTTTGAAATAAATAGATCAGGAAGACTGATGTCATAATGCTAATTCTTTCTAACTAAAAACTTTAAAATACTGCAAAACTTTGCTTTTTAGAAACCTAATTTCATGAGTTTAGGTTTTAAGTATTGAAAAATTCTAACCAGTCCTATAAATTTTAATACTCCTACAAGTTTTCACATAACTCTTCCTACATTCACTAATGTCAAAGCAATGATGTATCTAATGAAAATAAATATCATTATCTTATTAAGTTTTTTTAATAAAAATACGTCTATAACATGCTAATATGCTTGAACTCTTCTTTTCATCATGATTTGGTTTCTTACACTAATAAATTTATGAATACCTGGTCATTTGATATCAGAAAAGGCATTTTTGTAAAACAACAAAAAAAAAAACTGGAAGACTAAAGATGTCACTAAACTTTAGTTTTCTTTCATTCATTCAACAGTTATTTAGTTCTTTAGCAACAGAACTATCCAATTATACAGAGTTTTTTTAAAATGAGCAAAAACTAAATATGTGAATTTTAAAGACACTGTCTACAAAATAGTTGTGAAAGCTTACGTCTGTCAACTGAGTATCACATACTGAATGCAACCTGAAAAAAGAAAATGTGAAAGGTGGGAGTTTGTGATTTTATTTACCTCTCCATTCCAAAGAAACATGCTCCTTCTATGTGTCCACATCAGGACTGCCCTAAACTTTTAAAGCTACATTAATTCACATCTCCTATATAGAAATCACATCAATTTACTATATTTGCTACTTAGTTACTAAAACAATCCATTTTAAGGCAAATGTAACAGACCAAGACAGAGGCTGGATTCAATCTTATAATTTTTACTCAATTTTTTCGGGGGGAAGCAAAAGTAAAGTCTATCATACTTCAAGCATGATGTTTTTATTTTAAAAAGCAAAACTACTGAGTAAAAACCATAGGACTGAATTTTAAGAAAAGCAAAGAGAAAATGTATTTTAATTGAGGAAAGTCAAAACGGACATGACAAATTTTCTTTGGAGAAAATAAGAGAAGAAATAACTTTTGATTCTACAGAAGAAAGCACAGCAGAACTTTGTGAGTGATTTCATCTTTGATAAAATTAAGTTTACTATATTTATATAAGAAACCTTGAAGAGATAAGAATAATTTCAAAGTCTTTTTAAAATAATAAAAAGATTGTGAAAAACAAGTAGCTCTCTTGACTCTTCTAATCTGTTCTGGCAAAAGGCAGTCTTTTTTTTTTTCTCCATTAAGTAGACTTCTATTTTTAAAAAATCATTCAATGGCTTGTACAGCTATAATCTAGAAAAATCTATCACAGTTATCTGAATGCTGTTCACTCTAAGTTTCTGAATTTAGGGAAAAAAACTGCATTTAGTCTGTGTTGAGTTTTATTTAAAGCTACCATATGATGGCTTGCTGTCAAATTTTAAATACTGCGACCACAAAGCATTCTGTATGCATTGTCAATTGTAATGCATAAGCATTCCGAAAGTATTAACAGAGCAGGATTAAAAAGGATGAACATATTGAAGGAAAATAACCAAAATGTGGTCACATAATTGTCCTTTTTTTTAATGAGACTATTCAGTGGTTTAAAAAAAAAAGTTGGAATTAGGTTTCTGCTCAACTTAAAATAAAGATGGGGACCTAAAACATAAAGATGCCCACTGAGAATACTTAAGGCTATGTATTCTCTTAACCATCACTTCTTTTCTTAAAATATCATGGTCATTATAGAACTCAAATAAAGGAGAGGGGAAGAGGTTGTGGGGAAGGCAATTACATGTCTCAGAATATTTAAAGTATTTAAAAATGCCAAAAGTAAAACAATGTCATCAAATCTCCTAAACAGCAGGGAAATGATCATTTGAACTCTGGCTTTGTCTATCAACATATATTTTAAGAGATAGCCATAGCTATGATATACCTAAAAATCTACCCTCTCATAATGAGATTTCTAATTATAAAGGTAATTTTAAAGAATAAAAGTTATTTATTAGTAGGATCTGACAAAGGGAATTAATGAGGAAAAAAGGTTAATGAAGGAGTGCTCTTTGTTCTTGGTTGTCTTGTCCTTTTGTTTTTACCTTCCCATAGATTGTTACAAACACGTTTAGTAAATGTTAACCTATCCTGGCTGGTGATGGCTGAAGAGAATGCATGGTAGAGGGATTACCAAAAACTCCTTACTATTCTTTACTAAAGCAACTGATTTTTCTGATTATTTTATTACAGAAAAATCTCCTTTGAATATTTTTGTCTTTTTAATTGTCAAGTTGCCAAAAATCATTCTCTTGTTAACATCACGTATCTATTCCACTAATTATACTATTTTCATTCTCTAGATACAAATTAAATTATTTCACTACACCATTAAAAGAGTATATATTTCACTCACTTCAAAATGCAACAGTACTGTTTCTGTGATTTCATTGGTGTGGCCACTCCTTCCACTTACATTTTTTGAAATTTTCCATAATTTGGCAGAGAGTCTATGACTGAAAAAATCTGTTTGCCTATATGGCCAAATCTGATGAGAAACCTCTCTAGAATTAGCTAGGTTGGTCCTTAAATGACAGGCATACAGTTCATCACTTGGGTTTGAAACTATTCTAAACTTGATATGCTCTGACGGAGCTTAAGCTCAACTGGTCTATAGCTAAGAAATTAGGGTCATCTCCACATCATCATATGGTAATTAGGATATCAGTGGAGAATTTCATACATATACCAAAAAATTAAGCTAATAAAATTTTCTTCAAAAAAGATAACTGTCATTTCATCAGTGAGGGTACTTGCCTCGCTGACAAATGTAACAACCCCTCTACAGCTTAGAAGGTTTTTTATGCTCCTACAACCAAAAAAATTCATCACTCCTGGAAGCTAACTTAGCTGGCTTGGCCACTGGACAAGAGACACAAAATTCATTATCAGGCTATCACTCAAACCTTTCTCCTCCCTTCCTCCCACTTCACACTCAACTGGCAAATTCTTCAAAGAAGCCAGAGTCATCTCTATTTCATGAGAACTAGTTAGTAAGGTAATAAATGTTATACTTTTTACTCTCAATGGAAGCTCTAAGCATTCATTTCAAAATCTAATTCAGAGGAGACTCAAAAAAGAGTAGCTTTTATTTTAATCAACTAGTGTTTTTTTTCCCACTTCACTGTCAACTTTTTATAGAATTATTTTGATTGACAGAAGATGAATTAGTCTTTCTGCAGATGGTCAATCCCTTCTTAATTTACAGAAGGGCTGGCCAATTTGCAAGCACTATCTTCTGTTCATAGGTCTTAACATGAAAGACAAATAGCAATGTACCAAAAATGCAAGAAATTTTCAAAGGAAACAAGAATTAGGATGACCTTTAAATGGACATAAACATAGTGGTTTACAATTTAGGATAGAATATTAACATAAGACTGACTCAAAAGACAGCCTGGATGGCCTCTCTAGGGAAGAAAATCAGAAATATATGTCCTATAGTACCAAAACATAACATTCTAAGGAAATTTTGCTCCACCTGATAAATGCTGATGATGGATAACCTGATTCAGCTATCATGTCTCAGTCACTATATGAAAATCTGTAAACAATGCAACTGATATGTGAATACTACAACAATTAAACGCTAATGTTCTAATTTAGTTTTTATTTTGGAAGAATACAATAAATATTTCCTTGCTAATTACAAACAAGCAAATATTCACAAATTTAAAATAATTTTCCTTTATCCTTAATCTCCTTCTAGTAAATTAACAACATTAATATTTAAAATGCTATGCTCTGATTGCCTTGGATACAAAGCAGCAAAAGTTGAAATATTCTGAAATAATAATAGCAATGAATACAACCTTAAGTGAATTTATATTGATAGCATAAAATTTATAATACTTTTTTTATTAAATAACCAACTTTTTCAAATTACTTGGCACTCTAGAAACTGTCAAATTAAGCCTGCTTTTTTAGAGTTTAGAGTTTCAAAATGATAGTACTTTAGAATAAAGGGAAATAAAAGGAAACCAAAATGAAAAAGCCTAACTAAATACCCAAGACACAATACCAATCTTTCGCTTGGATGCTTTTTTTTTTCATAATTTGTCTTATTAGGGCACCAAAATGAAGTGGGCTTATATGTGCATTCTCTAAAAGCCTAAGTTTACACCTAAGTCACAATTACTTGAGCTTTTTTTTTTTAATAAAGTGTATCCAGGACACCATCCTATTGATCTTGAAATAGAAGCTTCTATTGCCTTCACAGCCATCCAGTAACTGGAGGTAATACAATTTAGATAAAAAGTAGTGTATGAGGAGACATTTTTTAGGTCCCAGTATACCTTAAGAGTTATAATCACTGAAAGAATTTCTAATGAGAAAAGACAGTTCTCTCCTAAACATAACTTTTTTTTTAATTTAAAAAATTTTATGTATATGAGTACAAAGAGTTGATCATGATCAGGATTTCCCAAAGAGTGATTCTGTACCCCTCCTAATGAGCAGGTTCAAAAGCTATCAAAGTAATACAACAACATTGATCACAATATAATAACAGTAGCTTATAATAAATTCCAATTACCAAAAATTAGACCATGGCCTAGGGTTAATAAGACTTATGAAAAGTGCAAGCAGTATGTACCACAGCTTGAAAAAAATAATGTAAACATAATGTTGCTTACCACAGAAAATACATCGCAAATTAGTGCTGTCCTGGGTAGCAGTAACCTTGCTCTGGGCTGCAACAGACACCTTGGTGTTAGAAGCTTCAAAGGACAAAGGGGCCATCTGTAAATGATTAGTCCAGGGACTTCATAGTAGACTAAAAGGTGGTTTTAAATGCTTAGTGTGTATTTATACATATTTCTTGGTTATTCCACCTTTCCCTATAAGTCCTATTAAGAATTTGGTACTCTGTGAGATATATATGTATATGTATATATATATCTTTTTTATGATCAAATATTTTTCGATATGTACCCTAATAAACTTGTGCCCTATTGTTTAAGATAATTTTCACTTGAAAATACTCTGAATGAGCAAGATATATTTTGATAAGAACATTTGAAATGGTTTTTTTCTGATTTCTATTTGTCAAAAAGATCCCATCAACATGAAAAAAGCCTACAGCAAATGAGTTTTATATTACAACATGAAATTAACATATTTCATTCGTATTGAAACAAAATTATAGTAACACATTGTCTCTGAGTGTTTTATTCTGTTGTTTCCTCCCTTCCCCTCAAAACCATTTGCGAAAGTTAATCAACATATGTTTATGTGCCAAAGAGAGGAAGTGAAAAAATTAACTAGAACACTGAATATCCATGAAATAAACTCATGTACATTACTAAATACATTTAAATTATTACACAGAACTTTTAAAAGACCAAGTATCACTGATTATATCCCAGAAAAATATGAAAATTTGGAGGACTAACAAAGACTATGTGCAACACTCAAAATCAGGTATGAAGTTGGTGGGGCTGGGGGGGGGATGATTATATATACATATGTCTTTATCTGACTTCTACATCTATATGATCCATACAAGATCTAAATTCTTGGGAGATGTTCTCTGTTCTCATTTGTAGTAACCAAGAAACATTTAGTGAGTTAAAAATAATCTGGTTTAAATATCGCCAAAAGAAAAAGAATAACTTTTAAAGCAACCACTACCAAAATCAAGACTTTCTTTTCAAAGGCAAAAAAAGTGATACTTTAGAGTACAGCTTGTACTACCTAAAAATGTTGTTTCCTAAGAACAGAATAAAACCAACTTATATTTAGTAGAAGAGAACACATCTAAAAGTGTTTAAAACACAGTATAATACAACAAATCTAGACCATTTTTAGAAGGCTTAATTTAAGATAACTCAATTTTATATGTCTTGTTTCTTTAAGCAGGAATATTTCTGACATTCCTATTTTTAAGGAGATCTTATTAAACAATTTTAACACTCAAAACACAACATTTAAAAAAAAATTAAATTGAGGATGAAAGCCAAGGGTATCAATACTGCAAGGCTCTCAAAATATGATTAAACATATAGTGATGACATTTACAATAATGTTACAAATTATAATATACATTATCATATAAAAGGAAAAATCTATCAAACTAAGTCTAAGATTAGACTGTGTATAAACAAACTTACAGAGTAATTTTTCAATTAAAATTACAAATCTCATTTTATTTTGGAATATTACTTGACAATTTTTAAAAATGTTTTATAGAGACTAGATTTAAATTAAAAAGGATAAAGGCTGATGTTTTAGCCATTTTTTTTAAACAATCTACAAGTAAAGAAGCATAAGAAAAATAAACACTTACAAGAAAAACTTGAGAAATTATCCCGCTTCTGACAGCACAGAAACTGCCACATCCTGTTACCAACCAAACTGGCAAGGACAGTTGCCAATTACCTCCTGAGAATTGTCAGAATGCAGGTAAGCCATGATTTCTCTTACGCAGTCTTACTGTTTTTAGATCAAAAAAAATCTGGATCCATATTATAATTTAAACTGCCATATAATATTCTTACAATGAACAGTTTAAGCCTTCCTTTTCTGATAAGAATTTTCACTTCATCCTGTCAAGCAAAATACTGCTTACTACTCTGATAAAGGTTGCTTGAATTCTTACTGCAGTTTGCATTTCCCGAAGATACTAAATTATTCATGCCATCATATGCATAAGGATAACAGCATTTCCTGCTTAACATCCTTGATGCTATTAACTCTTTCTTTGCTAAAAAAGATTAAAAATACAAAAGTGCAAGGGGAAAAGACACTAAAATGACAAATTTCAATAAAAGCCATTTTATAATAACATCTAACCTGGGAGACAAATTTCTGGTCATTTGATAATAACTTTTACACCAAGCATTAATTCAGTAAAAAGAATTTTAAAGAAAAAAATGTTGGAAATATTCCCTTACAATACTAAGATTTAATGATTCTACGCAACATAAATGAGCTAATAAATATTGAAATGTAGTCAAAAGCAAATTAGAGCTCCTCTAAAAGGTGACTGCAAAATAATTATATCATATTTGTATGGCACTTTAATATTTTTGAATCTTTCTCATTTGTTATCTCATTTGATTGTTACAAGATGTCAGATAGACAAGGAAATTATTTTACTCATTTTGCAAATCAAAAACCTAAGTTTCAGAGTGGCTAAATCATTTGCCAAAGGTCACATGGGTCAAGCCAAGACTAGAACTCAGGTTTTCTAACTGTTCATTCAGAATACAAGGTGCTGGTGCTAAAATGGTAATTTGGGGCCCTATCCTCAATTTGGGGAAGAGCTTCAGCAGTCTCTCCCTCATATTTTTGTGGTTAATATTCTTGCTAGACTTTTAAAATCTTCTCATTAGAATAAGATCTGGCTCTACTTATTCAGGACCCCTCTGTATCATCATCTCATACTGTTGACCATGTTCTCTCTACTCACATACTCTTTCCTACCTGGGGTTTTGTGACACAGTCCTCTGGCTCCTCCTTCTACCTTCCAGAGTATTCCTACTCAATCTTCTTTGTTTGATCGACATCCATGTATGTTCCCCACCCCCCCCCACCCCCATGCTAGGTGAATCCTGCGCCATTTTCTCGTTCTACATTCTTTTTTAACAACATCATCAGCTTCCATGGATTTAATATATCATTTCTGTGAAGGTGGACAACCAAATCTACTAATCTAGACCTCAGCTTTCTCTTAAGCTCCAGTCCCACATCAACACCTGCCTGTTAGACATCTCTATCCGGATTTCCCACAGGCATCTCAAACTCAACATGCTTGTTTTAACAAATGAATGTCCAAAACAGAATTCTATCTTTCCCCCATTAGCCTACCATTCTTCCTAATTTCCTCATCTTTCCAAAGACTCAGGTTCACAACTCCAAAGTGATATTCAAATCTTGACTTTGCTTCACATACTTTATCTTAATTCTAACTCTACCCTTGCATTACAATCCCTTTTCCTCATTTATCTCCCTAATTCAGCCTCCAAAACTACAGTAATAGCCTACTAATTAATTGGAGGTTCCCTTTATCAACACATCCTTCATCCTTTAAGATATTCCTAAAACATGGGTCTAACTCTCCTCAAGAAGTTTCAGTGGTTCACCCTTTCCTCCAGGATAAAATACAGGTACCTATGTTTAATTTAAATGCCTGAGATTAAAGTTCTTCAAATCTGCCTCCAGAATATCTTTCTAGATTGACTTCATATTACTCCCTCTTACAATTCTACATTGCAGCCAAACTAGCCAACTTGCAGTCTTCCATGCCTTTGCTGTCCCCCATTTTTGGAACACTCTCCACTCCCTCCTCTTGGAATTCCTAGCTCCCCCTTCAAAGCTTGGCTCAACTGTCATGTCCTACACCAAGCTCTTTCTTATTCCATCCCCCAGGTCCCTATCCAGTCAAATTATTTTGTCTTTATGGCACACATATTTTGCATTCACTTGTCTGTTCACATTTTATGTCCTCTTCAGTAGAATATAAAATCTGTTTTATTTTATCATCGTACTCTAATGCCACACAATGTGCTTGGCACATAGTAGGCACTAAATGAATGTTTACTGAGCTGAACTGAATTCTTAAAAGAAATATACAGGGGATCAGTGTCATGGTAACAATTAAGAAAATAGTTCAATTAAGAGAGATTAAGAATCTCTAATGTAGTGTAAAAACTTCATTAATATTCAATACCTCAGAATCTGATAGAAAAATACATATTTGTATATGTACACACACACAATATAATATACAAATCCTACCACAAAAGCACCCAATACTGTCAAAAGTTAGTATAGTATTAGTCTGAAAATCCACAGTATCACAGGTTATGTGTGAATTTTTATTAATTGCAGATTTTAGTTATATTTAGGTAGGCAAGGAAAAAAGAGGAAATCAACCCACAATCACTTCCTCTCTCAAATACATACTGCTTCAAAATATTAACACTAGACAAGAAGCCTAGGAAAATAGCTAGAAGCCTAGTTTTGCCACCCAAGGCAAACCCTGACTTAAAACTGAACTTTAAATAAGAAGGGATATCCCAGGAAGACTCAGCTCCAGTAAATTACATGCTGCTGCTATGGAATTCCTTTTCCTCATTCCCATTTTCCTGTTTCAATTCATCATGTTGCCAAAATTGGCCCACTACAGTTTCAACACCCAACAATTTTATTTAATCCAATTCAACAAACATTTATTCAGTGTCTACTATGTACAAAAATGTGCTAAGCTGCTAGAAACAGCTAAGTGTACAGTGAAGAACTGGGACTGGAGTCAGGATGATCTAGTTCAAATCCTGCCTCAGACACTCAGACACTAGGTATGTGGGCAAGTCACCTAACCTCTGTCTCAGTTTCCTCACCTGCAAAATAGAGATAAAAGTACTTACCTTACAAGGTTATTGTAAAGATAAAATGAAACATTTGTAAAGCAGTTTGGAAACCTCAATGTGCTACATAAATTTTGGTTTTATTATAATAATTATTATCATTAAGCACTGGGTACACGATAGGATGTCCCAGTTTTCAAGATTAAAATCGAATAAGGATAGAACACATAATTAACTGTGATATAAGGTATAAAGTGACAAGTATGACAAGAACAAAGCAGAAATCTATAGATAAAAGTTCTTTAAGAAATTTGATGGGGGGGTAGGGCAAGTAGGTATGGCAGTGGATAGAGCACTAGCCCTGGAGTCAGGAGGACCTGAGT